GAGCCACTCAGGTGCCAGCGCTGAAAGTCTCTCCCACAGTCCCAACCTCTGCTCCGGCCCCAGCCCTGGAGGAGGCCGCTGCTTCGTGCCATCTCGAACTCCATGATATCAGTTCCTCTTTGCTTTGTCCATGCAGTCGTCCCTGTGAAACAGCCGTGTGACCCGACCCAGAGCCACCTGGTTAAAGGAGACAGCAGCGCGCTCTCAGGTCAGCGTGGCCAGTTGAACGGGAGGCTCTGGGGGCAGGAGGGAAAGCTACAAGCCGACGCCGGGAGCAGGACATGGGCAGTGAGGAAGGACAGCTGACCAGCCGCCTGTTCCTCTGTCACTGGGCCTTTGCCCAAGAATATCGGCGTAAGCAGTCCATTCACTGTGAACGGTTACTGCTAACTGTGCTTAGCCCGCACCGATGAAGCATGAAAAACAATACCAGTCATAATGCTGATGGTTACACACATGCCACTTCATGTACCCTCAGCACGGCCTCATGAGGCAGGGATCAGTATCATGCTCACTTCTGGAAGAGACAACAGGGTCTGAGGTATTAAATAATGTGTCCACGCTTGCACCACCAGTAAAGAAAGAAAAACAAGAGCCATAAGTACAAACAGAATTTAACTACGAGGAATCACTGGGTGAAACTGTTCGCACTGACTTGTGAGCTATTTCCCTGGTCTGGACGCTCCATCCTGGGCACCTGTGCTCACAGGGGACTCCTGGCTGTGCCCACTGTGGCAGGTGCTCATGCCTTTGCCAGCCCAGTGCAAAAAATGGAGGACACACTGATGAGGGCACAGACTGCTCACACAGCCTGTTAGCAACCCAAGCACAGCACACTTCTGCACACTCACAAGCCAAACAGGTTTCATATAAGACAAATGGATTATTTGGAAATTATTCAGAGTCAGCTTTGTTGTATAGAGGAGAGGCATCTGAGAGCTTCAGACTGTAATTATTTGGCTGATTAAGATCTACCTATCTATTTATCTATCATCTATCTATCTTTCATCTATCTGTCTATCATCTATCTTTCTAGCATTTATTTATCATCCATCCATCATCTTTCTATTTATCTATCATCTATCCATCTATGTATCTATCTCTCTACCTATCTTCTATCTGTTGATCTATCTACCTATCTATCTCTCTCTGTCATCTATTTATTCACCTATCTACCTATCTATCTATTTAATGATATCTAATTTAATTAATGATTTTATTAAGCAATAATTTATATAAAGTAAAAAATGATCTTGGTCTCCTTTATTTTAAAATATTTTTATTGATTTCATAGAGGGAGGGCAAGGGAGAGAGAGATAGAAACATCAATGATGAGAGTGAATCATTGATCAGTTGCCTCCTGCACCCCTCCCACCCAACTGGGGATCAATCCTGCAACCAGTCCCCCAACAGCACCAGGCATATGCCTGACCAGGAATTGAACCATGACCTCCTGGTTCATAGGTCGATGCTCAACCACTGAGACACGCCGACTAGGCTTGGCTTCCTTGTAAAGGTGAGAGGACTGGACCTGACCACTTGCCCAGAGCTTGGCTCTCTTGCCATCTAGACCAAATTCTGAAGTTCTTTACATTCGGAAGAAGTCACATGTTAGAAAATACTCAAGCAATTACAACGCTCAAACAATTTCACACTGACAGACTAAATGACAATGTACACTGATTGAAAACTCCAGTCATAGCAATTAGAATAATGTTCTGCAACTCAAAAAAAAGCTGCACTTGAAAATGTCTTTAAAATTGTCAAACATGAAGATTTCCAAATAGTTTGAAGACTATCTAAATGTTATGTTTTCTTCCCAGAAAATGGTGGTGCTTGCCAGGGGGAGGGGGATGAAGAAGGAGAGTGTAAAGGGTGATAAATGGTGATGGAAGGAGACTTGACTTTGGGTGGTGAACACACAATACAACATACAGATGATGAATATAGAATTGTACCCCTGAAGTCTGTATAATTTTATTAACCAATGTCACCCCAATAAATTCAGTAAAAAATAAAATAAATTATATTTTTTAAATATGTGTGGGTTATTTTAATGCTGCCAGAACTTCACATCATTTTTAGGACAAGTTATTAGAAGCTATTTAATATTTAAAATGAAGTATATTTTGTAGAAATGATAGAAATGACTTGGTAAAATAATTTTTAAAAATTCATCTCTGGCCATGAAGGGATAACTAGTGAAGTAGCCTGCTTTCTGCAGCAGCGGACAGTGGTCAGGAAAGCGTGGCTGCGGGTCTACTTCCCAGGGGCAAGGCTGTGCCTGGCACTTAGCCCCTGTGCTTTGCATATTCACACAGCCGGTCACTGACTACATCCATAGGTTATGACTGCAGCTTTGTCATTGATTAGCTGTGCGACCCTGGGAAAGCCAAATTCTCACTAAATGTAAGGAGATGAAACAGTAACACAGACTGGTCTCCACGGGGAGGGAGACATGAAAGTGCCTGAGGAGGCAAAAACTAGCGAACAGAGCACCTTTCCTGCTTTGGGGATGGAGGCAGACAGGAGGCAAATCCTGGCACCCAGAGAGGAATACACAGCAGAAACCAAGGTGCCCTGGAGGTACCAGGGGAGGGGATTTGGTCAGGAAGCGTGTGCTCAGGGCTGCAGGGAAGTTAGGCAATGAGCTGGCGCAGGTCCGAGGAGAAAGAGCCACACAGGAAGGTCCCAGGGGAACCGGAGATGACCCGGGGCTGGACCCTGACAAGGGCTGCACAGTCTCTTCCCTCAGAGTTTGTAAATGTCCATCACAAACTCTCCAAGTTTGCCTTCCTGTACCTTGGGAATTTTGTTTGAATAAAACTTATAATTAAAGGCTTAAGAGATATTTACATCATTTTTGCTGGTCCAATGGCCTATGTACAGCAGCTCCTCACTTTGCATATCTCTGCATTTCAAGCCAACGTTGTGTTAAATAACACCAGTGCCCCCCCAGCACCAGGTGCCTTTCCGTGTCCCCAGCATATGGACTGGGGAAGTTTCAGGAAGCCCAGGGTTAGCTACTAGGTTCTCAGTCCATAGGCCATGGCGCCCCCTGACCGACCCTCAGCCCAACACCTGTCACTCGGGTCACACAAACAGCAGATGTGGGGGTGCTGTCTCCTCAGGATGAGCCATGTGGCATTTCACACAGATGGATAACCCCAAGAAGAACGTGGTCACCAAGAGGAAAGAGTAGCAGGAACTGGAGAGGGCAATGGGCAGTGAAATGTAAAGATCACATAATGAAATTATCGTATAAACTAGTGGCCTGGTGTATGAAATTCATGCACATTAAAAGGGATTTAATTAGAAGAAATATTTTAATATTGCTATTTGTCCTTTCTCTGTAATAGAAGTGTCAGAGCCCTAACTGGGTTTGGCTCAGTGGATAGAGCGTCGGCCTGCGGACTGAAAGGTCCCAGGTTTGATTCCAGTCAAGGGCATGTACATTGGTTGTGGGCACATCCCCAGTAGGAGGTGTGCAGGAGGCAGCTGATCGATGTTTCTCTCTCATCGATGTTTCTAACTCTCTATCCCTCTCCCTTCCTCTCTGTAAAAAATCAATAAAATATATTTAAAAAAAAAAGAAGTGTCAGAGATGAAAGAAAATTAGTAAAATGTATATGAAAATTTCCCTCCTGTCAGAGTCTGGGGAGCCCCGCAGGACCTAGAGTCAAGTCCCTGCCCACCACCTGCACGGGTTTCGAAAATGCAAGAGACCCAGACCCGGCCAGCCCTACCCCCATCAAGCCCCGCCGCAGGGGGGTGCAGCCTCAGGTTCCCTGGCCTGGCGCCAGGGTGGGGGGTGTCTCCTCAGGTCCCCTGTCAAGCCCCATGGGGCAGGGGGTGTGGCCTGAGGTCTCCCAGCTCAAAGCCGGGTCGGGGGTGCGGCCTAAGGTCCCTCGCCCTGGCCAGGCACCATGCAGCCTCAGCTTCCTGCTGTCCAGAGTTATGGCGTCTGGGCTAATTTGCATATTCCTCTATTATATAGATAGATGCCAGACCAGTAAAATGTAAATATCATCTAAGCATAAATGTAATGGAAGTGGGATTATAGGGCACATGGCCTAACCGTACAGCCAGGCTGACCATGCTTCTGGTTGACTCCAGATGTGGAGCCAGAGGGATTCAGGAAAAGCAAACCTATGGATGTGGATGAGGAAAGTGGGGAGTCCCAGGAGAGGGACACAAGGGAAAGAGCTCCCCATGAAGGACTCAGGGGCACGGTCCTCCACAGGCTCCCACCGCCATGCTGACCACCCTTGGGAAGCACCCACTTGCTGGCTCCACGCCCTAAGTTAGGAGGAGAAATGACTGCTCAAACTATTTTGGAGAAGTCTTTTTTTTTGCAAAAAAATAAAACACATTAACTCTCAATATTTTCACCATTTTAAATCACAGTGTACTACGTAACTATTAGTTTTACTGTATTTCCTTGTACATTTATAGCCTAGAATAAGAGAGTTTTTAATGTTTTAACAAACATTTGTAAAGACCATGAAAAGTCTCGTTTTCCCACTGATTATTAGCATCACTGTGCACGGTCTCCTCTCCTGGCACCCACACTGTGCAGAGTGAGTGTGTAGTGTACTTCACAGAATCAAACCAATCTAGGCTGTTCACTTGTCATATGAAAGCAGGTGTCTAAGGTTGAAGTCATTTTCTGAGTTTATAAAGCTCTGTCTTAAAAAATTCAAAGTTAACAACAGACCCGGAAAATAACTTTGATTAAATCTCTAAAATATTATGCAAATATCAGACACCTAATATTAGGCTTAAGCACCTAAAAGTCCAAGTTGTACTTTATGTAACCCAGTAAGGACAATGAAAATAGGAAAAGCTGTTTAAATTGTATTTTGGGGACTTAATATTTTCTTTTCCTTTTATTATAAAATATTTTAAACACATTAATCAAGAATAGCCATAAATGAAATGTACAAAATACTTAAAAGATAATTTAAATCAAAGGGAAACAAGATGAAAAGTTTACATACCGATTGTAGAAATCATCTCTGTAGTAATCATAGTCGAAGACGTAACCACTAAGGGGAGAAACAAAAAAATTAGCTGACATTTGTTTCACACATTGATTTTTGGTACTAATTCATGATGTTCCAGCAAGCAATTTAGTCGCTTTATAAATACTTATTTTTCAGTGTAATTATGTGTCTGAAGAGTTTTGCAAGGTAATGTTTTCTTGTCTATCACAGCGTGTCAGAGAACTGCCACATGTCTGACATGGTAGAGACTGATGTAGGTTGGAATGGAAGAGGAGAGCAGGAAGCAAAATAAAATATTTCAATACTTGTAATTAAACATGATTGAAGCCCATTTTTTTTTTCTAGACAAGATATAATATAGCTGTTTCTTCTTCCTAAGGTCTGTACAATGAGGCTAACCAATGAACAGAAGGAATCAAAATAGCACAAATGAAAGGGTTTAGGGGCCCATTCTCTCTAAGAATGGAAGTAGGAATGTGGTTTCCTCAGAAATTCAGCTTTTAAAATTCTAAACACTATGATTCAATACTTTTACATAGAGAAAAAAATTTTTTAAAATATATTTTATTGAGTTTTTACAGAGAGGAAAGGAGAGAGATAGAGAGTTAGAAACATCGATGAGAGAGAAACATCGACCAGCTGCCTCCTGCACACTCCCCACTGGGGATGTGCCCGCAACCAAGGTACATGCCCTTGACTGGAATCGAACCTGGGACCTTTCAGTCCACAAGCCGACGCTCTATTCACTGAGCCAAACCGGTTTCGGCAAGAAAAATTTTTAAAAAGGTCACTTTGGCTAACTACAACAATATTATTGGGTATTTAAATAGGAATTAAAAAGTACATTTCAGTGATAAGATGGTTATAACTAAGTACCTTAAAGGGATATATTACACACTTTGCCCCCTGCACTATAGTGTGGAGTTGATAAAGCACTTTCTATGCAGTATTTTCTTTTAATCTTGTCCTCAAAACAACCCTGGCTGGATACTGTAATAGAAGAAACTAAAGCGCAAAGGACCTCAGTGATTTGCTCAAAATTTAAAAATTTTTGAATTTATTTTTTACTTATTGATTTTGAGAGAGAGAGAGAGAGAGAGAGACCGCTCTGCTGTTCCGTGCCCTGACCAGGGATCCCCAACCTTGGTGTACCAGGACTACACGCTAACCAACTGAGCTGCTCATCTGAGCAATTGCTCCAATGTTTACCACTAGGAAGTGACAGAGCCAACACCGGAGGAAAACACTCCAGATCCAGGTCTGGAGGGCTGTGGTGACGCTGTGCGACCGCCCAAGCTGGGAGAAGTTTACTCTCACGCCAACCCTGTATCTGCTCTACAGGGAAGTGATTATTTTTAACATTTAATCATTTATTTTGTCATGAAGCTTATGATTTCAGCCCACTTTATGTATGCAATTCAGCACCATTAGGTACATTCACAATGTCGTGCAAACATCAGCACTATCCACTTCCAGAGTTTTCACCTCCCAGACATTCTGTAACGCACCCTCTCCCCCACAGCCCTGTAACCTCCATCCTCCTTTCTGTCTCTGTGAATTTGCCTAGTCTAGGTTTGTCCTATAAGTGGAATTGTACCATATTGGTCCTTTTCGTCTGGCTTGTTTCAGTTATCAAAACGTTTTCAAAGTTTATCCACATTGTAGCACATAACAGAGTTTCACTTCATTCCTTTTAATGACTGAGTAATATAACAGTGTGTATATATCCTATATAATAAAGAGAAAATATGGTAATTAGACTGGACAGTGGAACGACCTTCTGGAACAACCTTCCAGATGATCTTCCGGAATGACCAGTGGGTGGGGCCTAAGAGCCTGGGTCGTGAGGCAGCCGGGGCTGCGAGGGCTGAGCCCTTTGCATGAATTTTGTGCATTGGGCCTCATATATATATATATATATATATATATATATATATATATATATATATATAATATGCAAATAGACTGAACGGCAGAACAACCGAACAACCGGTTGCTATGACATGTGCTGACCACCAGAGGGCATGCGCGGAACATGGCGGGTATCAGCAGCAGGTGGCCTTTGGCCACAGTGGGATGGTGGAGCAGAAGAGCGGGGGCACCAGACCAAGGCAGGTCACCGGTCGCTGAAAATTCTTTGCTCCCGTCCACTGCTTGCACCTGCTGCCAGTGCCCGACACTGGCCCCGATCACTCGGCGCCATCAGTGGGTGTGAGTGGTGGCTGCCGGCCCCAATCGCCCCTGAGGGCTTCTCCACTTCCCCCTGCTCCTGAGGGGCAATCGGGGCAGCAGCTGCCACTCGCACCTGCTGATGGCGCCATCCCCGCGAGCATCCACTGCTGGCGCTGGTCCCAATCGCTCCACGCCATCACAGGTGTGAGCAGCAGGAGCGGGGCTGCTGGCAGACAGGGGACTGGGGGCCTCGGGGGGAGGGGCTGGATGAGGGCGCGGAGATGGGCCGAGACCTGCCCCTGTGTCCACCGCAGCTTCACAGCCCACAGTTCCTTTCAAGGTGCATGAATTCATGCACTGAGCCCCTAGTGTGTGTGTGTGTGTGTGTGTGTGTGTGTGTGTGTGTGTATATATATATATATATATATATATATATATATCTTTTTGCTTAAAGTCATGCTACTTTTACCCTAATTCATCATGAATAATTATTGTTTTAGCTTATGTTTGAAGAATATGTTCATATTATAACTGGTAGTTTGTAACATTTGGCCAATGTCTCCCCATCTCTCCCCATCGCCAGGCCCTGCTGGCATCATCTAGCCTCTTTTTCTGAGGTTGTTTTTTTCCTGATTCCACATATAAGTGGGATTGTGTAGTACTAGTCTTTCTCTGTCTGACTTATTTCACTCAGTATATGCCCCCAAGACCCACCCAAGCTGTCCTGTTGGCCAGATGTCCTTCTTCGTGGCTGGGCAACGTTCCATTGCATGGGCACCACATCTTCCTTAGACTGCCCTCTGTGGACGGGCACTGAGAAATGCTAATTATGTTTTATAATCTTTTTTCCTGAGACTCTTTTTTATATTACAACCTCAGACAGCAGAGCTTAACAGAAAGAAGAAACGATGACTCATGAACGAATTAATACATGTTCCTAATGTGGCTGATGGTGCTCATCCCATCCCTGCGTCTTCAGCCTTTAGGAAGCTCTTCAGAAATGGAACAGCCTCTGGGAATTTAAAAATGAGCAAGAAGAATAATCCGTTTTTATTGTTCTCAGTGGCTGCTGGAGCGATCTGTCCATCCTACCTGCTCTGTTTCACCCTGACTGCTAAGGACATTCACAAGAGCAGGGGAGGCTGAGCATCAGGATGGTTTGACCTCCAACCCCACATCTGCATCATGAACTCCATTTCGCCTGTCAAGTTGGTAATGAGTTGAAATGTCAGGGCAATCATGATGAGCCTGCTTTTGTGGTTTGAACTTTTAGTGGACACGTCAGGTTCAGCTCATTGGCTGTAAAATCGAGCTGGGTTTCCAAGGAGGAGGAAGAGATACAAGGAGATGAAGAGAGAACACCCCGGGTTAGTCTCATGCACTTTTCTTATGCTTTCTTGGGCCTTCCTGCCACCCTCCTCAATTCCTTTTTTTTTTTCCTTTGGTCTTTTTTTCCTCCCTTGCAGATTGTTTCTCTTTCATAAAAATCCCTCCTTTTTCTTTCTGTGCAAACCTCTACTGGAAATGAGCTGTCAAAAATGGCATCTCCAGGAGTCACAGTGAAGTTTCTAAGGTGCATCATGTATCCTTGAATTTTACTGCCAGAAAGACACTTGTCTTTCACATTGAAAATATCCTCTTTGCCCTCCCCTGAGCCAGGAGGGCAGCCTCTATGCTTGGGGCTAATATCTTTTGGCTTTTAAGGGAGGAATTTTTGCAAATTTCATTGCGGTAATTTTGTATGACAACCTGGGCCTTAGGCCACTGAAAACAAACGGTAATAAGTCAGACTGTGCAGCACATTGTCCAGGAGGAAACTAGGTCCAGGAAATGTCAGCATTTCTGTCATTTGAGGGGAAAGCCAGTGGCAAGGAGCAGTACTTGATTTTCTAGAAAAGTGGAATAAAAGTATATGTAACCCAAATACTTTGTATTTTCATTTTTAAATCTGGTACACATTCATGACTTTTATTCTACTTTTCAATGTACCTTTAATCGATTTGCTCACATTTCTTTAAAATTTAATGAGAAATCAGAATTGGTAAAGTAATTGTTGAGAGTCATACAACACACACACACACACACACACACACACACACACACACTTTCTTTTATTACTGAAGATTAAATGAGACCTAGTAATGTTCCTGGAATTTCATTTAAACTTTTTCATTTATAGAAGAAGAAATCACCACAACTCATTGGGTTTTGCAATATATGAGATCCATTTTCTCTAATTCCTTTGTGTTCATAAAATCAGCTTAGTATGAGTAGACTAATACACAAAAGTATTCTTGGTATTTTCCATTATGAAACTTCATTAAAATATAATCTGAAGAATGTTAACAAACTTCTTAACACAAGGGGGGAGCACTTTAGTGACTTCTTAACAGACACCCTGTCGATAGTGACTATTACCGGAGCTTCTCAATGACTGCACCGGGCTCTCTAAGAAAGTAAGTTGAATAATCAATTATTGAGTACTTATTGTAAGCACAATACTGGGAGTTGTCGATAATATAGGCGGAACATGGCTCCTAATCTCAAGGAAAGTCATTCTAAGTGTAAGTGATCAGACAAATACTCACAAGACCATAATTCAAAGCAGAATTTCATAAGTGCCAAAATAGAAATAAACGCTACTAGGAGAGCTTGTAGGATGTGGTTGGTGGGACACAGGGATCAAAGATGTCATGAGAGAGGGGGACTGGGCCTGGTCCTTCTAGCTGGTCGGAATCAGCGGTGGAATCAGATGGAGAACGTGCTTCAGGAAGGTCACGGCTCTCTAGCACCCTCCTCTCAGTGCGCCTGCGGGAGTCCTGCAGGCAGAAGTGAGGACAGGCGCCCCTGGCCTGAGTGCCGAGCTCCTT